CTACAGTAGTACTAAACCAAAAGGACCAGAGCTTCAGGGCTCAGGGGTTAAGGGCTCAGGACTTTAGGCAGGCTGACTGCCCGCTCTACAGTCGGAACGGCTACGTAGCAGTCGGTCGTTGTGTCTGACTGTTTGGTTTCGGGCTTAAGGCTTTAGGGCTTAGGAATTAAGGCTTAAGGCTCAGGGCTACAGTCCATAGTCATCCGAATAAAAACTAAACCACCGGATTTGAGTTTTATATGAGGGAGGGGGGAGGGGGGGTTTAATGTTACGGGGAAGGGATTGCACATATGGTTTGTAATATGTACCTATCTCTATATATGTACATACACATAGGTATATGGTGCAGCATCCCGCCATCTGCTTGTCTATCTATCTGTCTATCTGTCGATCCATATATCTGTCTATCTGTCCATCTGTCTATCTATCTATGTATCTATCTCTCTATCTATCTATCTATCTATCTATCTATCTATCTGTCTATCTACGCACAGATGCATACACACTTATCGCCTGGTGCTGCAAGGTCGCTCCGCGAGCCTGCAGCGGGTTCCTGCACCTTCGGCGATGGGGTGGCAAAGCAGCATCGGGGATAGAAACTTTGGGATGACGGGGTTCAGGGCTCAGGGCTGCAACCGGTTGGACCCGGAACCCCCAGCTAGAAGCCGCTACAGAATCTTAAGCCGTCAACCCTATGAGCTGCTGGTCGGCTCGGAAGAATCTAAGAACGGTCTTCTTTCCATGTTGGGGCAGCCAAAGGCCGACGTTATCGTTTGGCAGACCCCTAATCCCAGACTGCCTCCGAAATTATCTTGAAGTAACTCCTCGTTTGGGGCCCTGTAATGCTGCAGGGTGCTTGATAGGATGCCACCCACGTATGGGATCTACTTCTCAGATTCTCTCAAAAGGGGATTCCTGCATGAGTCCCAGGCTCCGAATTCAGAGGCCCTTAGCCAAACCCTGAAACCCCAGTAGGCGCCCCAATCGTAGCCTTGAGCTACTCTTGTGGCATTTCCTTACTGGCATGAACCATTCTTAAAAGCACTAGCACCCTGAAGCCAAACCCTTCTCTAATCCTGAGGGTCCCTAAAACCCTAGGCCCTAAGCCTAAGCAACCTGCTCTAATCACGAAAGTTAAAGGTTCAGGGTTTAGGGTCCCTCAAGCCCTAAACCTTGCTTGGCCCAGATTTTCATGCATCGTTCAGCCCTGGGGCCTTCGCCTGGCTCCTTGTGCGGCAAGTGTGTTACGCAGAGTCTCCTAGACCTATGGTAAGGAATACACCTTAAAATCTAGGGGGTCCCTCTCATAATTTTAGAGGATCTTCCCTAGATAAAGTCTTGTTGCACTTTAGCTTAATAGCGTTTACAGGCTTCTGGGTTTCGTTGCTTAAGGGGTTCATGGGATTCGGGCTATTTGTTCAAGAATTTAAGAGCTATCTCAAACTAGCATAACCTACCTTCTTGTAGATTCTTGCTACGGACCCTAGTATAGACTTTTCAGGGACCCTCCCAAAAAAGGAAGTTTGGTAGTGTAGGGGCCTTATCAATTTGAATGATATGGGTTTCCTCATATACGGGGCTCCTGTCAAGGGTTCCTTTGCAACGGCTGCTTTAAGGTATCTATGCGACCTGCTTTGGCTTGAGGATGTCTCTATAGGAAGCTGCGGTTTAGGTTTTTGTTGGGATGGTTTAGGGGTCAGGGGTGCAGGATGTAGGGGCGAGATTTCTAGTTGTCGTTGCTGTTTTTGTGCCTAATTTGCCTGCGACATCCCAATACTAGCCTGATTTAGGGCTTAGGGGCCTTGTTCTTCTGACAAATGTACGGCCTGTATCGTGAAGTTAGGAACATCCCTTATGCAAGATGGAGAGGGGTGTCTGGAAAGCCGTAAACATGGTTGTTCCGATACCCCCTTATAATCCTTAACCTGCCCGTATCATCCCCTGCCAAAGCTTTCCAGGCTTTCGCAGAACACCCCAACACCCTGCATACCCTTAACCTTAAACCCCTAAGTCCCTGAAGGAACCCTAAAATCCTACCGCCCGAAAGCACTGAAGACCCTAAAGATCCCAACGCCCTCAAGACACCTTAAAACCCTAAACCCCTAAACCCTAAACCTTAAACCCCCTAAAACCTTCGAGGCAAGCTCTGGGCTTTTCTCCACCGGCTCACACAGAACTCCCCGGCCCGGGAGAAGGGAGCCTTGGATGGTTGGTTCAGGGTTTAGGGTTTACGGTTTGGGGTTTGGGGTTCAGGGTTTAGGGTTCAGGGTTTAGGGTCGTCACATGTCTTGCTTGTTCAGAGAACGACATGATGCTTCCATGCATAAACTCGGCAAGCCTGCGGAAAAAAGGTTTGGATCGGTCTGAGGTCTGGGGTTTGGTGTTTAGCGGCTGGGCTCGGGGGTGGAGGTGTGTAAGGATTAGATTAAATACGATGATGGTACAGAGCTAGCTGCTTGAAGGGCTCTGTGGTGTTATTTGACGAAGGATCTATGGGGTCAAACTGCAAGGCTTCGAGCATACAACGCTGAATATGGGTAATAATGGTACTGCTTACGGTTTGCTAGTATACTTACAGCCCTAAACCCTAAACCCTAATCCCTAAACCCTGGGAACATCTAGGAACCCTTGTCTGACAATTAGGGCTCCTATGTTTCCCTAAGGGTCCATGTGCCCAAATAGTATATACATTGGCCCTAAAGTACTTATATGGGGACTACATTAAGGCCAAAGTATATACTATTTGGGTACATGGACCCTTAGGGTTTTAAGGTGTGCTTAGGATTCTTGATTCAGGGTGTGTTACGGCACGGTTTCGGAGTGAGAGCTATTAAAGCGTTATGACTTTAGGACCAGGGCTGAGGATTCACCTACCCAGAGACTCCAAAATCCCTTAATTAAGGAATATACCTTAAATTATAGTAGGATCCCTAATCTGCTTTAAGGTATATTGCCTAATTCAGGGATATTGGAGTCTCTGGGTACAGCCCAAGCACGACATCGGCTGAGGGTTGTGCAGATGTGGGCTGGAAACTTGGAGTCCAGCGTTCGGGGTCGCTGGGTTTTCGGGGCCTTGCCTCGGATGTTGCAGAAGGCTTAGAATTCAAGACTTCTTAGGGTTTTGGGGGCTAGGGCCTCAGAAGCTTCATGAATTATTTCGGTTGGGGCAGGGTTTAGGGTAGGGTTCCGGGCCTAAGAACCTTCGAAGTCTCGTTGTGGAGGAGTTGTACTACCCACGATTTCTAAGCCCCGTAACCCCATTGCGCACATCCTCGTCACATTTCGTGTGGATCCGTGTTGCCCTAAACTTTTGGGTTTTTTTTGTCGGGGGCCTGAGCCCAAGGGTTCCCGGTCTTCCAGAGACTCCACACCTCTCTGGTTAAGGAACATTCCTCTACCCGGTTTGGGATTCAGGGTGTAGGGGTTTAGGGTTTGGGATTAGGGGTTTAGGGGCTTAGGGAACAGCAAGCGAGATGGAAAGTCATCCATCCCCCAGCCCTAACCTTACGCACGAGGACGGGCCTGTGTTGCAAGAGCCGCGCTCAAACCTGGAGGTGTAAACCCTAATGGGTCTCAGACAGAAAAAAACAGGACAAGAACAGCACCCTTACGTTTAAGGATGTTACCAGGTAGCTTTCATTATTGCTATGATGAGTCCTACTCTTTACAAATATCCGGATGCCAAAGCCAAAGCAGAACCGAACGGGTTAAAACCTGCGTTTAACCCTTTGTCCCTAAACCGAAAAACCAAGCCATCCTGAAAAGCCCATCAAGGACAGTTTACCGCACGGGAGGTCGTGCTGGTGCAGCTGGGCCTGTCATGCGCTGGTTCAGGGGCTCTTGAAAAAGTTTAATGCTTTACAAGGAATTTGATAAGAGTTTAAAGCAAGTTCCGTCTTCAGAAATCCTTATGCAGGGAAAGTGGAGCTAGAACCGATGTTGCAGAAGCCACAAAGACTTCGAAAGCCTCGCGAACCTTCAACCTTGGTTTCAACCTAAACCCTAAACCCCTAAACCCTAAACCCTAAACCCAGGCTCGGGCCCGTGGCATCTGGAAAGACACGGCTCCTTCAACGACTGGCCGTAGAGGCGGTTTAGGGTTTAGGGTTTATCGGTTTATCGGTGAGCTCGGGTGCATCGCAGATTTCGAGCTCCTGTGAAGGCTTCCCTGATAGTGCCAAACAGAACTTGGAGTTTTGGGCCTTGGAGGCTTATACAGGGTTTATAGGATTTGCAACTTTGGAATCTGGAAGCGTTTTACATGAACTCTTGGACAACTGTAAATATCCCAATGAAGCGAACTCCATTGAGAAAGTCGAGGCCTACGGGGCTCTTACAGTCGCCAATCTACTTCCAAGATAACCTACCACCCAGAAATACCCAGACAATCTACTCTAACTATCAAGGGCGCTATATTAGCTACTCTAAGCTGCCAGCACTTACTTGCTTGGTAATTTTAGCATTCCTACCTGCTACATTCAGTTTCTACTACGACCCTGCAAACAACCTCTGTGGTTCAAGCGTGACCAGACTAGACACCTTCGACGGGTTGTTGGCACTAATCTCTGCCCTTAAGAAACCTCTGTACTTAGCCATATGTCCTAAGTAAACTTGTGCAGGTCTAATATAAACGTAGACAAGTTCACGTTTGAAAACTAAGGAGCTCGGACGCCACCATAACCCCTCAAGTAGGTTGTGACAGTGCATGAGTAGCACATTGTTTGCTCCCCTAAACCCAAAGCCTTGCCTGCCTTGTGCGAACTGCGAGAATCACGAAGCTTTAAACCCTAAACCACGAAAGCGCAAGACCTCACCAACGTTTTGTTCTGATTTGCAGCGCAGGCTGTGAAAGCACATGACAGCGAGGCAGGTGATGAGTCGTGATCGGTGCCGTTTTTGTGGGATTGTGACATTTCTGGGAGGGGATACACGTGAGGTTCAAGGTTTCGACTTTCAGTTCTGGGACTGCGTCCCTCACCCCTGGATGCCAGGCCAACTACCGAAATCCTCGTTTCTTCAAGCACCTGAAAAGAGAGATGCTGATGCCTGTGATTCTAGGCCATGCACATCATGCATCTCTTGAAGCCCTAGGAAAATCCTGTTTGAATGCTTGCATGTCTCCAGCTGTGTGACACAGAATGACGACGCTTTTATACAAAGGGCTGATACGGATTGATGGACATGTGGCCCGCACGGTCATTATCGAAAGCATTATCGGAGCCATCAACTGTAATTGAGTGACTAAAGCCGAACACCTCGACAACACTAACCGCTGGCTGCTAGACAAACAACCTACTTGTACATATGTATTCAAAATTTGGGCTGCGCTCCACCGGCAGATGGTGCCGTTTATCGTGCCCGCTTCCCGCCTTCTCCTGGTGATTAGCATCTTGACTGGGAAGTCTATGGCTTAAGGCTTTAAGGCTTCAGGTAGAAGTCATGAGGTTTGGGGCTATCAGGCTCGAGGCTTTAAGTTTGAGTGAAGTGTACTATGCAGGGCGTAGACTCTTGCAGACAGTGTTAGAACTGCAAATCCTTGGCTTCACGCCGAAAGAGCAATCCCCAGCAGAGTTTGGAGGGCTAAGCTCCATGGGCCCCATACCCTAAACCCTAAAACCCTTGAAATAAGCGCTCCGGAGGACCACTGGTGCTGACGGAAAAGAAGTTCAAGAAAAACAATACTTAAAACCCAAAGCCCCTAAACCCACCCAAAGCCCGAAACCCTCCTAAGATTCGGGGTTCCAGGACTAAGGATTTTGGGCTCGAGTTGCAGAGGGCCCTGTTTAATTCATAGCAAGTGGGAGGAAGAAATAATCTAGACCCCTGATCAATACATCCCTCTCCTCTTTGATGAGGATAAGGCTCCAAATAGGGATTTTCATCTTCGGTCCCTTCCAACAGAAACTTGTTACTGATTGGTCTACGTTGCTCCAGAAAGTGGACATTTGTTAGGGTAACTACACTTCTTCAACCTTACAACCGCAATTAAGGTTCTTGGCTCTTGAACCATACGTGAAACCCTAAACCCTAAACCCTAAACCCTGTTCTTTAGACCTAGCTGCCCTCCTGCTGCAACGCCTTGGGTTTTCAAGGCTTTGGGTATGAGACAAATAATATAGGGGCTCTGATGCTTACCTATACTGTTGTGAGGGGTTCCTTATTATACTTGAAGTATAATATCCTTAATCTACCCCAAAACCCTTTTATAATGATTAAGGCCCCTATAGTAAGTGCTTAAGGCTTGCTGCTTCTGGTCACAAGTTCATGTCTTCTGCAGAGGCTTGGTTAAAAAGCCGCGTTCAGTGCTCCACATTTTAATTGCGGGTGTCGATTCTACAAGGCTCCTTACTGGCCCCAACAAAGGGTCCCTTCGACAAAACGGAGGAGTAGAGAACGTGAGGGCAAGTTGGATCAACTTGCATGAAGGGTTCCGGGTTCGAGAAACCAATTGGGGGAGTGCAGGCATCGCCACCAAGACGTCGACCGAGACGGCCTACATGAAGCGCCATTCCCGCGCCTACAGCAAGGATTGGCCATGAGATCTATTGTGATTACGATTGCAAAGATAACTCCTTTGGGCCCTCATAGCATGTGTGCAGTGGAAACACAGGCCAACTCCAGCAGGGATTCCAGTACAAAACAGGCAGACTCTAGTAAAGACTCTGCTTCAATTAGCTAGAGCATGCGACGGTCGCCGGGTGGGGCGGCTTCTAGGTGGACTTTAACCGAGTAATGAATCTAAATATGTAGTTTTGAAAGACAAGGGTCCCTTTTACAGTCTTTCTTATAAGGCTACCGTACTATTTTGGGGACCTGAAAGGAGCCCTTATATATAATGTAGAGAACTACCGTGCCTCCGACCGTCTTATAAGCACGATGACAACGGCCATCAGACTAGGATACAGCTACAAAACTTAACCGCAGTGCAAGATGTCCCATGGAACTCCCCCCCAAAACCTTAAATTAACCCTAAACCCTAAACCCTAAACCCTAAACTTAACCCTAAACCCTAAACCCCCAAACGGCCATTTTTCCCTAATGCCTAGAATCGGGCCTAGAATCGGGCCTAGAAGCTCCCGACCGGAGGAGTCCGAGCAGATCTGCCTAAAGCGCCTGGCAGATACAGATTTCCTCTTGATCTACATTCGTGCCCGGGCTTATAGGGTTTACGGCTTATAGGGTTTAGGGTTTAGGGTTGGGGTTGTAGGGTTTAGGGTTTAGGGTCTACATTCGTGCCCGGGCAAGGATTTGCGGCTTTTAGGGTTTTGGGTTTATGGGGTTATAGGGTTTAGGGGTTATAGGGTTTAGGGGTTATAGGGTTTAGGGTTTAGGGTTTTTTTTACAAAGGTTCTGTACGGTTTGGCTGAGGGTTGCATGCGGATTTCATCTTGTCATGCAGAGTGTGACGCTCCGGAGGAAGGCCGTGCGTGGCTTTCACTGACCGATCGCAGTTGAACAGGCAAATTGGAGCGCAACTACATACCTACACTGGCCTAAACCTGAAGCCTCAAGCATGCTCCCTGTAGATAGGCTGTCCGCTATCAGGGAACATTTGGCTGAGAGACTTTGGATTTGTGAGGTTTGCAGTTTGGAGTTTCAAAGCCTCGACTCTATGAACCTCCGAAACCCTAAAGCTGAGGTGTGATGTTTGGGGCCGACAGCCGAACGACGCAGTTTCTTCGCCAGGCGCTGCACTCGCGGCGGCTCCTCCTTCTCGTGGACCCCTTTAGGTTCTGGGGTTTATGGGCTTATGGGGGGTTTTAGGGCTTAGGGTTTCAGGGTCCCGTCAGGGTTTATGGGGGCTTTAGGGTTTTGGGTTTAGGGATCCGGAATTTGAGAGGCCCCCCCTTGTCGCCCACGAGCAACAATGACCCCGAACCCCGAGCACTAAATCTAAACTCATGCTTGCCGCCATGAATTGCCAAACGGATGGAACCTATCTCAAAGGTCCTTCATGTCAGGGATGAAGGCTGCAGTATTTCAGGATGCGGCACGAGGCGGGCATAGGGCTTGGGTGGGTGTAGAGCAGGCAAGGCGGAGGTCTGCTCCGTTAGCCATCAGCCGTAAGTCCGGATTCTAAAAGTGTTGGCCAGGGAGAGTGGCCAGGGACGTGCTAGAGACATTGAGCTAAGTGTGTAATAGCAATAACACTTTCCGTAGGGTTCCTCACCATAGACATCCAATACTAGAAATATACCTAGAACCCGCATTCTATTTGATTCCTAAGGCCCCTGCATGTCTTCATGGACTGCGCTTTGCTTTACCGATCAGGGTGTATTGTGTAGAGTCTCGGAAGTCTGCCCGAGAGCCAGGATAGTATCCTTAGAGTCTCGGCGTACCTTAAATGTAGCCCTTAAGTATAGTATAGAGTAACCTTCTAGTAGCCCTTACAGTAACCCGCAACCTTCTTGTAACCCTTATAGTAGAACCCTCAACCCCAACCCCGAAACCGTAGTAACTTTGAAGGACTCGTTGGAGCATTGTCCGATCACCTTGCAAAATCCGCAGCGTGGCTGCAGAACCCGCGAGTTGATCAGGGAGTCTGGCGACTGTAGAGGAGACTTTACTGGGGTCTAGGGGCTTATGTAGGGCTTGGGGTTTCGAGTGAAAATAGCTATTGCGTGATATATCATAACATAATACAACGTATCTCCGAATCCCTAGCACTTGCCTGCAGAATCTCGCGGGGTCCTACGCACGTGAACTGCTAAAACACGAGGATTGTTTTTGAACTGGTCGTATTTGAAGCCCTCTTGAAGCCGGCTTCAAACTGGCTTCATCATGCCCTTCGGATACAGTCCCGGTATTGGTGTAGAGAGCGTGCAAGCTCGCTATAGATATGAGGCACATTATCGAAGGCAATTCTTGTGGCTTCTCGAGTGAGCTTTGCTGCAGGCAGATGCCACGGCTTGGCATTAAATGTGGCCGACCTCTTTGTGTTTTGCACCATCGGTTGTTCTGAAGTTGTTGAAAAATTGGGTTTGGGGTTTATGATGGTTTACCTAGACCCCAAAAGTTTGTAGAATAATAGCCTTTTACAGGTGTTGAGCCATTATTTTACCTACTTTGGGGG